GTGATGAATTGGGTTGGAACCTGAGCTATAATCTCATCCTGCTGAGACGCGATCTGTTCTTGCTTAGCAACGATCTGTTCTTGCTGAGCAGCGATCTGAGTCAGAACCTCTTTCCGATGTGTTGATATCTAACAATACTGCTTCTCGTTAGTCAGATATCTGAGAGGCAATCTGATCTTGCTGAGCTGAAAACTGAGCTAGTACCTCTTTCTGAGCTAATATCTCTTCTCGTTGAGTCGATATTTGATTTAATACCTCTTGCCGTTGAGCTGAGATCTGTGATACGATCTGAATTTGCTGAGCAGTAATTTGTGGCAGAACTTCTTCTCGCTGAGTTGCCATCTGGTCAGCAATATCCTGTCGCTGAGCCGCAATCTGGTCCGTGATCTCCTCCTGCTGAGCCACCATCTGGTCCGTGAGCTTCTCCTGCTGAGCCAACATCTGGTCCGCAATTTCCTGTCGCTGAGCCGCTATCTGGTGTGCAATGTCTTGTCGCTGAGCCGTTATCTGGTCCGTAATGTCCTGTCGCTGAGCCGCTATCTGTTCCGAGATCCCAGCCAACATCGATTCCGCTGAAGCTAGTTCTTCGAAGGTGAACGTCTCTGGATCCGAAACAATCTCAAATTGCCACCTTGTCCACACCCAGAGAAATAGTCGGTTGTAAATACCAAACGTTCAGTGAAATATAGGAGCCAGTCACTATATTCATCAAATATTACCACTACAAAATAGGATGATACTATATAGTATTTGTATGATACAATTTGGCAGTAGTAATATTATTTGATATAGTATAGCATTATACTATTTTGTTGTGATATTTGATAAATGTATAGTTACTGGCGCCTATTTTACTAAACGTTTGGTATTTACTACCGACTTTTTTTCTCTGTGCATAATAACAGAAATAGTAGCTATTTGATAGGTATAATGCAAATGTCTATGATTCCTCATTTCCAAAACAACACCCGAAGCCCAAAGAAAACCATGCACACATTATTGAACTTCAGTCTCTAGGCGCCAGTCCTTGTAGATTGGCTTGATTTTTCTCTTTCATTCACGTTCCATAAACTATAGACTTGAAGTTATGTGCCCGACAGGCGACAGGGTTTTCTTATTGTGTGAGGACCGTAGCGCTGCTACGGGAGAGGTGGATTCGGTTAGGGCTGTTCCTAATCACCTTTAGTGATTAGTGATGTCCCGTACCGGGGCCTCATACACGATAGGGCGAGTCCAACTATCCCAGCAGCCAGAATTGAATCTGGAACATGTATTAGTTGTATGTTGTATATGAAGTTAGCTCCGGAATGGTGGATTGCATTGATGGATGGGCCTTCATAGATCATTTATGTTACACTTGTTCTCCACATTCTCACTTTTCACTATTTGTGAAAAATCTCGGCCACTTGACGAATGTAAATGAACAAGTTTCTCCAAGTCTTCATAAATTGATGAACAATGGATTCCACAAAGGGAATATTCTAAGTTACAACACCCAATCTGAGATCAACAATCAGTAGCCGCGTGACAAGTTCAGTATTTTTTTGTCATTATGTCCCATACAACACCTTTTCATATTTATCGCTGCTATCTCGGAAACATACAGTATAATAGGTTTATTTATATTACACCATCATACGTTTTGAATTATATCATTGGAATGTAAAATGAATATGAATCTAATGATATTATAATAATTACTGATAGCAAGCAAATATGAAAATGATGGAAACGCCTGATTCTGAGTGGAAAACAAATGTGAAAAAATCTGTCGATTCCAGGATTCAACTCTCCCTATTAGAAATGGAAGCGTGGAAGACCGAATCATTCTCCCATCTCCTAGGTATTGTTCGTTATTCATTTTGGCAGAGCTTGTATACCAACGAAATTCGCCTAACTATCTGTACATTATATTAATATTATTAAATTTATATATCTGCTATTGTTATTGAATTTCTAATGTTCACCCTGTATATGAATACTAAACTCATTTTCGTCTCCACATTCTCACGTTTCACTATTTGTGAAAAATATCGGCCACTATGCGAATGTAAGTTAACAAGTCTCTTCAACTCTTCATGCAAATGGTAAGTTCCTGAATTAATAACTATGACTTCCGTCATGATAGGAAACTGAATTCTCAAGACAGCGTTGAGGAGCGAATGATGAATATATTAAAAAATAATTAGGGAATTTCAACGAGTAAATCATGAATAACACGGTGATTTAAAAATCACGATTTTTTGTCATTTTCATCATCGAAAATCTTCATGATCACCCTATATATCTCAACGAAATCATGTTCATACGGTATCAGCTATCTTGGGAGGTTAACAATTCACTCGAATATACAGGATGTGTATGAATAAATCGATCTTAGGTGTCTCCAATTTTTCAAATCACCCTGTATGAAATGTATGAATTGTGATTCATGATGGAATGAGAATAGTATATTGCATGACCAAATTATTTTTTCGATATTTCATTATTACATCGAATTTTCAGACATCACTGAAATGTTTATATGTTTCACTCTGTAAACAATTGCATCATCTGAACCATCTGAATTATGTTGAGTAATATGGAGGTTCGTTAATGATATGAGCAAAGAAAATTATACTTGGCATCTTTGAATTCCGAGAAAATAATTAAATGAAAAATACCGATTTGTAACTTCAACGCCCTGTATCTCAGATTTTGCAGGTTCAATCAGTTCATCGAATTCTACAACATACTAAAAATTCAGAAAATTTCACCGAGAACCATTTTACGTACTAAAAGAGCGGGGTCCTTTGCTTAACAATTTTTTGCTCAGAAAAACTGAGTTTTTCCAAATCAGCAGTAATAAAAAAGGAAGGACATCTGTAGAATTGAAATCCAATGATGAACGCAAATAAGCTACCCTCGAAATGTCACTATTAGATTACTTATTGATGTTGATTTATTGGGGCTAATGGCTAATGATGTTGCCCCTGTTGAAAAGATGGAAAGTTGTAACCTAATTTCCTGACCAGGTCAACTGAAAGGAGAATCATTACAATAATCTCTTTTTCGATTGTTTGATAAATTGATATTCATCATACAGGACGTGGAAAGTAATTCTGAATTGAGAAGAAACTAATCACGAATCTGCGATTGAGGTCTATACAAATAACAAGTTTCTATCGTTCAAGGTTGAACCCCTTGATTGGGTGAAAGTATTGAAAAAGAATATTCTCAGATATAATTATGAACACAAAGAAATGGATAGTTATATAGAGAGATACATTGAGAATTCACATTCTCCATGTGATGAAAATCTTAATTTTTTCTTGGTTCATTCAACAGAAAACAATTCCTTTCCTGGCTATATGCCACGACGAATATTGAATTACTTCTATTATGAACACACACGATAATAATTTGAACAAAAAATCTTCTGAAATAGAAAATTTGCATTCTCCTTCAAATAAAGAAATTCATGAAATATCAATTCTCAATTTCAGAGGATTTTGATTTTTCATGCTCTCTTTTTGGATATTCAACAGATATGATTCAATGTTCGACGTGGCAAATAGCCAGGAAAGTAGTTGTTTTCTGTTAAATATTCAGAATGATATTATATGCATATCTTTATATGAAGAAGGATGCAAATTCTCTATTTAAGAAGATTTTGTTTTCAAATTCTTATCGTGTGTTCAATAGATGTAATTCAATATTCGTTGTGGCATATAGCCAGGACAGTAGTTGTTTTCTGTTGAATAAACCAAGAGAGAATTAATATTTTCACCACATGGAGAATGCAAATCCTCAATGTATTTCTTTATATATATATACCCATTTTTTGTGTTCATGAATATATCTGAGGATATTCCTTTACAATATAATAATCTCTGTTCAAATACTAACCTGAAAACCATGTATCTCAGTGCAGGCAACTTTAGAGATCACTACTGTAGGTTTAGAACGCTATTTTTCAGAAACTGCTCGTCAAAAAATAGTAAAGTGAGGTAACGTTGGAAATAAAATTGAAAGCCCTTCAAAATAATATGCCACTTGACCGCTCTTTCCTATTCATATTCTAAGGGAAACATCTACCCCTCCTAGGGATTTGAACCATGAGGGTCAAGAATATTCATTCAAAGTGTCCCCCTCGAGAATAAAATAGACCTATTTTCATTTTTCCATATTGGAGGGAGATATTAAGGGGTTGGAAGTTTTCAAATTGACACCCTGTATAATAACTGTACCATTCATGATTGGTATTGGGTAATATTCAAGTACCTACGCTATAATACTACTAGTTTGATCAAATATGTATTTCGTCAAGTCAATGTTTCCTAAATACTGTCTGTAGGTTAATCGAGGAGGTGGTACATTCATTATTCCAAATTTTTTGGGATTTTTTCTCCTCGTTTCTATAAAATAAAAATATTATTTCAATGAATCAGATGATTTGCCCCAAAATGTTACCGGTCCCGAAACGTCCAAAGATAAGTAAAAATTTGATATTTTTTCTATATACCTTTATTTCTCTTCTCCAAAAATTTTTTCAATACAAATTGTCACTGACAAGCTAGTGAATTTTTCTTTTAGGCTCTCTGATAGGAAAATTCTTTAAACGCAGTGACATTTTGGGGCAAATCATCTGATTTGTCCTTACTACACGTATATTGAAATAATATTCATATTTTTATTTTATAGAAACGAGGAGAGAAAATCCCAAAAAAATTGGAATAATCAATGTTTCCTGTTCATCAAACTGTATCCTAATCTAATTATCTGTGGACTCGTGGAGTCTTCTCTAAACAATTCAGTTTTTTTGAGAAATGAATCACTCGTGGTATTACTACTGAAAATATTTTTCGTCATCAGAGACGTTATAACTGAGTACCTTTACCCATAACAAGAATATTTCAGGTTACTCAAATCTACACAATTTCACTGTAACAATGTATATCGAATGAATATGAATTTGATCGAAGTGATGCAATGAGTTCATATTGTTATTTTTTCAATAGGCTGGTGCAGAAAGTGAGACCCTTTGGCATATCGAAGCTAGAAATGCTGCAATCGCCAATAGCTATTTCACATGTGCATTGAACAGAGTTGGAGTAGAGATCTTCGGAAACGAGTATACTTCAGGAGATGGAAAGCCACCTCATAAAGAGAGTAACTACTTTTATGGATCGAGTTATGTTACTGCTCCGAATGGAACGAGGTCACCGGTGAGTAATTTTTTGACCTTCGAAATTTCTACAAGCTGGTTCTATTGAAATCAAACTCAGATGAGCAGATAAAATTCAATATGGTATTGAAATCAAACTCAGATGAGCAAATAAAATTCAATATGGAAGTGCGAAAGGTCATTCATCGCTTGCTCAGTCTGCTCAGCTGGAATTCAATGGTATTTTCAGTGAACAGTTTGAGAGTAATAGCTTATCTTCCTCCACATTTTTGGAACTTTTCCTCCTCGTCTCTATGAATGAAATTATCAGTATCGGAAATGAGCAATATTTGGAAATACCATTCTGCCTTTGGACTTATCTGACTCCGAATAACCGAAAATACTTTGCTTAGATATATTATGTGGAATGTAATGTAATGATTGAAAAATAATACAAATTATCCATTGTTGGTGATATTCTCAAGATTTGATGACCAATATTCACAGTATCAAAACGATCCACAGTTATATTCGAATACTTGGAATATTTATGAAGATGATGATGTGAATTTTCCAGAGAAGCCTCAAACCTCAGAACAAACGTTATACTTTTTACATCAACAAGTTTCTGATCGACTCTGGTTTGACAAAATCGTTCATTGATCCAAATTCAACGTCCAGGATATATCCAAATACTATTCAAAATATTTCGTTTATACAGTGTGTCCATTTGGTGCGTAATTCTTCGATATCTCCTGGACTATTGGATTTAGAGAAAATTCAAGATGACTGGTTATTTAGTAAGTAAGTAAGTAAGTAAGTAAGTCAGTACTTTATTGATTTTTACTACCACTGCAAAGTATTGACAAAATCAGTTATTGCTCATGCATCTATGACATTCAGTTGAATATTTCTTGTAGGCAGTAAAAGCAAGATCCTATGAATATATTCCAATAACTTTTTCAATACCTTCATACACAGGGCCCATGATTTTGACAGTCAAATTTCATGAAGTTCAATGAAATTTTTCTCGATTTTTTCAAATGTAACACCCAGTATATTATATCAATAAATGAGACCTCTGCCTATACTCTCTATATTCAAATAATATCTTTCTCATCACTCGCGGCGTTGTCAAACTGTACACATTTTTCTCAGAACATGTATTGAAGTACTCATTATAAAATTAAAAAAATCATCATCAAAATCAGAGGAATTGTTCGAAATGTCTGCCATTGTGCTCGATGCAAGAGTTAATACGAGTGGTGAAATTTTCTCTAATTCTTGCTAGGATCTGTGGGGTGATACTAAGGAAAGCTTCTCGTATCCGTTCTTTCATATCTTCTATGTTGCTGGCAGCTGTGCGATAAACTCTCGATTTGACATAACCCCATAAAAAGTAATCCATACTAGTTAAATCGGGATATCTAGCAGGCCACTAAATTGGACCCCCTCGCCCTATCCATTTTTGTGGAAAATTGAATTCAAGATTGGCCCGTACTTCTCGATGATAATGTGCAGGGGCTCCATCAAGCTGGAACCACATATCTTGTTCAATTTCCTGTGGGATATGCTGGAGCAGATTTGGTAAATTTTCTAGTAATAATTGTGAAAATCTCTCTCCCGTCAGATTCTCAAAAAAAAATGGCCCAATGACATAATCATGGTATATACCACCCCAAACATTAAGAGACCACTTATGTTGAAAATTAGAAATTGAAATGGCACGGGGGTTCTCCGTATCATGAAAGTGGAAATTGTGACGGTTTACGAAACCATTTCTATGGAACGTTGATTCATCAGTAAATAAAACTTTCTTGAAAAATAACCGGTTCTCTTCTATTTTATTTCTTGCCCATCGTCTTTGCAAATCATTCTCGGTGAGTTCTTGATGGAGTTGGGCTTGATATGGATGGAACTTGTGATTCTTCAGCGATTTTGATATCGAGGATTTACTAATACTAAGATCTCGGCTGATTTCTCTCACGCTCAATGATGGATCCTACGTTACTGATAACATTATTGCCATTTCATTATCTTCTGATAAAACAGTTCTGACTCGGGTTATTTTTTCATACTTCACACTACCCGTACGCTCAAATCTCTCTTTCAATCTTTCAAAACATTTCTCTTGAGGATGTCTTCTTTGCGGAAACTTCTGGGCATGAATTCTAGTGGCGAGGATAGTATTTCCGAGACTTTCTCCCAACACCACACCATGCTCACCATTTCTTCTTGGGAATAATCCATTTCAAAGAAAATCAACGACACCAACGATATAATTATTGGTAAAGTCAGTATACCTAATCTGATGGTAAATAATAACTAAATCATAAAAACGAAAATCGGAGACTATGGTTTAAATAGATACACAAAAAAAAAACACCCAAAAAACACACGAGTATTCGTAGAATCCCAAATACGTAGTTCAGCAGCAATATGTTTGACTGAATATTGAATATTCAACTAATATTATTGTGATGATAGGTACATCAATAAATGCGTTGTGTAGACAAAAATATGAATTTGACAACGCCGCTAACAATGAGAAAAATATTATATGAATGAAAACAGTATTGGCAGAGGTTTCATTTATTGATATAATATACTGGGTGTTACATTTGAAAAAATCGAGAAAAATTTCATTGAACTTCATGAAATTTGACTGTCAAAATCATGGGCCCTGTGTATGACGGTATTTAAAAAATTATTGAAATATATTCATGGGACCTTGCTACTACAACTTACAAGAAATATTCAACTGAATGTCATAGATGCATGAGCCATAACTGATTTTTGTCAATACTTTGCAGTACTAGTAAAAATCTATAAATAATTCATAATTTGACAACGCCGCAACGGATTTTCAATTTCTTGGCATAATTGGAAAGCCAATGGAGAGGTGAATCAATGAGGAACGAAATATACAGGGTATTCCATTGAAAAAAATTATATTCTCAGCTTCCCTGCCTTTGTGTATCACCCTGTACAACTGGAAATATTTTTAAAATATGTGGCCCATTGAACTAAATAACCAGTCATTTCGAATTTTCTCTGAATTCCATAGTCCATGAAATATCGAAGAATTACGCACTAAATGGACACACTTAGTTTCGACAGTGTTCCAGAAATCCGCCCATAAATTCAATGCGATGATTCCTATTTTCATTTCCATTTCCCTTTCTGAAATTCCTGGAAATCTGAAATTCTACTTGCTCAAATTCCATCTCCTCTTGATGGCCTAATTGGTCTTGAGGATCTCAAACTTCTGCAAGCCAGATTAGATTTCGATAATAATATTTTGAATAAACCACCAACGCTAGTTATTTTGCCGTAACATCAAGTTACCGAAGCAATGTAATGGGCCTTTATTTCACCGCAAATAAATGTTTGTTGGGATGCGAGAAAAAAGTCGCATTTTTCACTACATTTTATTCGAATCAGACATCACCTCATTTTTACAATAATAAAAATATTCTCTGAGAGCTTCACTAGGTAAATTATCAGAAATATCACAAAATCCAGATGTGAGATATTTCGTTATCAAATAAGTCAGTTCAATTCCAATCCAATCATTTCAGATACCTCAATAATACCTATATTGATGTTCAAATTATTGATTAACGCAACTCGATGTGAAATAACACACGTTCCAGCACTCAATAGTGATATAGTTCTTACCGGTGATAATATTAAAATCGTATACATCGATGCAACACGAATGCCTCAAGAAAGTCCTGTTGTACCTTATACACCGAATCAAAATGAAACACCGTAGAAAAGTTGGCGATCTGGCTCTATTTCATGAATATTTTCATGGACGATGCTCTACTGAAATATCAACAATTGTTTCTCCCTTGGCAGTCCCCGCGAGATTAACCCGTCGAGTTGAGGCTTCGAACCCCTACGTGGTCACTTTGGAGACCTGCAGAACATCTCTTTCTAAAGACTCGTTCATCCAACGAACAGCAAGGCTCTGGAACACATTGCCAAGGAAGATGTTCTCCGAGGCATATAACCTTCAAAAATATAGAAACACCAATTCCCACCTTATTTTTCTTGGTTCTCACGATGTTCTCTGAACAATACAGGATATCCCTTTCCGTGGGAACCAGAACAGGAAAAATCGATGAAGCTGGCCCATTCAAATGTAGAGAACGAAATTTTCGCTGGATAGGCTTCTTCAGAATGATGCTTAGAGTTGTCTTGCTGGAATGAGCCCACACTGAAGAATCTAGATGAATAACTAGAGTTTATTGAGCAGGTAGTACGATTCGGCTTTTGCTGCTTACTGAATCATCTCCAAATACGTATCAACGTAACCATATTAATCTCCAATAAAATATTATAAAACGTATTGTGATAATATGGCTGAATGGGAGAAATACTATTTATTCATGAAAATATGAAAATGTACATGACCAGACATAATAAAAGAAATGATACATTTCTTATCAACAACATTTATGAAATATGCCAACCCGATATCTCAACATCATTATACAGAGGATACTACAATACCCTCACTCACAAATCCAACCTAACAGGTGGTGTTATAGTTCTTTTAGGTCTAGCATCTACATCTAGATCGACAACAGAGTGACGAATTGCTTGATGGTCAACCTTTCTATTTTCGTTGTTTGAATTATGATCACAAGCATTTTCATAATTCCTTACATTTTCACAATCATCATTTCCATGAGACACAATACCAGTTTTCTCAATATCATCTAAAATAGTTATAGGTTCGGTTTCATTCAATTTCGATCTCAAAATCTGGTCAGTATGTCTTTTCCATATTAAATTTTCCTTCGTCAATCTACACAAATAAACTCTATCTCCTAAAACTTCATCAATTGTTGCCTCTACCCAAATCTTCTTATGAGGATTTCTATAATCTTTACATAATACCTGTTCCCCTTCTGAAAATCTTTCTATTCTCTTTCCTTTATAATTCTTGGCATTGTCATAATTTTTATCACCTTTTTCTAGCAATAAATCTAATCGATTTCTAATTTTATTTTTTAATACTAAACTGGATGGCGTCACCCCAGTAGTTAT